ATTACAAAGGGTAGAATATGTCCTTGAATCATTATGTTAAGAGGGATGGATCAAAAAGGCAGAGGGAACTTTTGGATTTAAGGGTTTAAGAAGCATGTATCAAAACACAAACTGCACATATTAAATATGCAAAATTTGGGCTGGCTAGTTAACTCAGGTGGTTAGAGTGTGGTGCTGATTACACAAAGATCCAGGGTTTGATCCCTGTACCAGCCAAATGCCAATACATACACTGTCTTAGTCTGTTTTGTGAGGCTATAACAGAATACCAGAGACTGGGTAATATATAAAGAACAGAGATTTATTTGGCTTATGATTCTAGGACAGCTGCGTCTGGTACAGACCTCAGGCTGCTTCTATTCACGGTGGAAAGTGGCAGGCAGCTGGCAGATACAAACAAATCACTTGGTGAGAGGAAGAAAGAGAGAGAGAGGGGAGGTGCCAGGGTCTTTTAAACAACCAGCTCTCACAGGAACTAATAGAGTGAGATCTCACTCAGGCCCCCGCCCCCAAGGAGAGCATTAATCCATTCATGAGGGATCTGCCCCCCTGGCTGAAACAACTCCTAACACTGCCATATTGAGGATCAGATTTCCATATGAGTTTGGCAGGGATAACACATCCAAACTCTAACACACACACACACACGCACACACACACGCACGCACGCACACACACACACACACACACTTTATTGTGGAAACAATTACACTTCAATAAAGTTATTTTAAAAAGCAAAGGTAATGAATACTAAAAAATTGTCACTCCTAATTATTTTACTATGTTTTACTCATATTTCTGGCTACTGTGTCAATATGGTGGAAATAGAATGTAATGGTGTGCTACTGCCCATCTCTTCCCAACTCCGTGTTCAGTGTCATCATGTTGGCAGCTTGAAATTGGTCATGGTGAAAATATTTGAACCAGGGAAACTGACAAACATTAAAACCAGGGTTTATTTGCTTTACTGAATGGCTAGACTTAAGAACATGATGAAGAACATGTTAATAATGTAGATTAGGTTTAAAAATATATAGTGTCTAGGCTGTTAACACCATGAATAGCAGGAAAAAGTTGAGAGAATATTCATCCAGGATTCAAAGACAATTTTATTCCATTTAGTAAAGAAGTCACTCACATGACTGAAGAATGAGTGAAGTTCTAACATATGTCTTTGTTATACATGACTTGTATTTTAATGAAAAGGAGAATATGATCCAATATCCATTGAAAATAGAGTAATGGTATTAACATGTTTTATAAAGGAAGAAACAGGTGGCAAATAAGTAAAAAAAATGTTCAACATCATGAAATATCAGAGAAACACAAAACCACAGTGAGATGACATTACACACTTATTAATACATTGTAAAAGACTGCACCAAGTATGTATGGCTTGTGGAAGAACAGGGATGCTCATATACTGTTGTTGGGATTACAATGAATACAACCAGTTTAGATCACAGTTTGGCAGTTTCCTAAAAAGTGAAACATTCACCTTATCTGAAGTATTAGCAAGAGAAGCAAAATATATTTCCATAGGTTGTATGCCTATGTTCATTGTAGTTTTATTTTTAACAGTCCCAAACTGGAAACAACCAAATGCCTATTAACAGATGAATGGATAAACAAATAGTGGCATATCCATAGGACAGAATATTACTTAGCAATAAAAAGAATCAATTATAAGCAACATTAATGAATCTAAAAATAATTATCTAGCATGAAAAACACCCCCCAAAATGTAGTTTTATTCCATTCATACAAAGCTCTAAATTATACAAACTAATCCACTATGAAAGAAAATTATCCAGGCCTGGGGAAGGCAGGGAGATTATAAAAGGGCACAAGACAAATCACGGATATGTTCATTATCAAGATTATAACGGCTTCATGAGTTTATGTGTATGACAAAACTTTTCATATTGTACACCTTAAATACGTATGTGTCATTGCATGTTAATTTTATCTCAATATATATTTTTTAATGGTGCAAAGTAAAAACTAAAAAATTGGGATCTCCCACTTCTCAGAAACCAGGTTTGGCAACCCCATGCTGATCCCACTATCTCCTTCCTCATTTTAATCTGAGACAACAGGAACATTTGCTGGACCAAAACAATCCATACCCCTGCACAACACAAGCCATTCTATCTTTGTTTTTTTGCCTGTATATCATCTGGACTTCGGGTAAACATTGCAGAAAGACAATGGGAACCTGCAAAACCCTAAGAATATTTTCTCTAATACTGACCTCAACTGCAGCACATACACAGATTTGGATTGATCAGAGCCATAGTCACTGGAATTTGGTTTTTTTTTTTTTGTTTTGACTGATAAGGGGAACTTGGCCTGGTGTTGTCTGCACCACACTCAACCAGTGAGCGCACTGGCCATCCCTATATAGGATCCAAACCCGCAGGTGTGGCTCACTCACTCACTCTCCTGAGCAAGCCATGGGGCCAGCCCTGGATGCACTTTTATAAGAAGCACATTTATCTGGCTTGCTGCAGACTGCTCCACTCCCTACCAATTACACCATTTCTGTACCAATTATGGCTCACGCCTGGCTCCCCTACTGTTACCAATGACACTAGCCTACAGAATTATGTATACCAGGGCACATGGATCTTTGTAGAACTTCATGAAAATCTTCCTCTCAACAGAGCTGGGCATTATGTGACATCATGTGGGAACAACAAGAAACAAACAAACAAAAAACATTCAGGCTGTTCCAAGAAGCACTGGATGTAATCATAACAACTGACCCCTCTTCAGGGTGACCTCTGGTTTAAAAAAAAAAAAAAAAAATGGAGGCATCAAGGCCAAAAACTAGGACCACAAAGCCCTGCATGCATTATTTCATTGGAAGTCTTGGATAATGATGCAAATTAAGCAAAATGGAATGAGAACTACTCTCTGCCATTATAGTATCCCTACTGAGGCACACAAAGTAAGGGCCCCATAAAAGCTGTCCAACCTTTCATACAAACAGAGCCCAATTCTACATTCCACCCACCAAAGTAGTGACTAGTACCACTTGATTAAAAGAAGACAAAACAATAAGGCCTTTATTAGTGCACACACAAGAGCAATGCAAAACAGGAAGTTACCAGTTAATGATTTAGAGTCTGTGTAACATCAACCACACAGGTCATATGAGACCAAGAATTTCCATAAAGGTAAACCTTTCCCACAAGTCACCAGCTGAACCCTGACTAGGTCCTCTTAGCCAAAACAGTCAGATTCACAGCATACCCGTCAGAAAACAGAATAAAGTTGTTCTAAGGGCTCAGGCCAATCAAGATTTCTACCAGAGAATGGGGAGAGCAGACATCTGCTTTGCCTACCAGAGAATGGGGAGAGCAGACTCAGCATGTCAGGGTGACCAATGCACACTGTGCAAGGTGTGAGAGGACATGGCTTCTACAAGAGAATGTGGAAGTGACTTAACTCTGGCAAGGCCCCCAGATGGTTCAGAAAGCGCAAGTAGCTCCTGTAAGCCCCACACATGCCTGGAACTCGTGGAGAATTTCACCCCTCTTGGTGCTTGGTTCAACTTCAGGCAGATGGTTCCCTTACAAAGGCTGTCTAGTGCTGAACAGAGATAACACATCCCCTGCAGTTGTAAGGCCTTACGTATGGACTTTCTGGTGCTAAACAACATTGGACCTTGGGCTGAAGGATTTCCCATATTTGCTGCCTTTATGAGGCCTCTCCATGGTGTGATACTTTTGGTGTTGAAAAAAGCTTGAGCGTTGGCTAAAAGATTTTCCACATTTGCCACATTCATAGGGTCTTTCTCCAGTGTGAACTACTTGATGTTGAATGAGAACAGACTTCTGTCTAAAAGATTTCCCACATTGGTCACACTCATATGGCCTTTCTCCAGTGTGAATTCTGCAGTGTTGAATAAGGCTAGTGCTTCGACTAAAGGATTTTCCACATTCTCCACACTTATAAGGCCTTTCTCCAGTATGAACTCTCTGGTGTTTAATGAAGGCAGCTCTTCGGCTAAAGGATTTCTCACACTGGCCACACTCATAAGGCCTTGTTCTAGTGTGAATTCTCTGGTGTTCAATGAGACTGTAGCTTTGCCTAAAGAATTTCCCACATACACCACACTCATAAGGTCTTTCTCCAGTGTGAGTTCTCTGATGTCGATCAAGTTTGGATTTGTACCCAAAGGCTTTCCCACATTCTCCACACTCATAAGGCCTTTCGCCAGTGTGAACTCTTTGGTGCCTAATAAGGGTGGCCCTTTGGCTAAATGATTTCCCACACTGGCCACACTCATAAATCTTTGCTGTAGTGTGAATTCTACGGTGTTCAATGAGGCTGAAGTTTTGTCTAAAGAACTTCCCACATACACCACACTCATAAGGCCTTTCTCCAGTGTGAATTCTCTGGTGTCTAATGAGAGTGGTTCTCTGGCTAAAGGATTTTCCACATTCCCCACACTCATATGGCCTTTCTCCAGTGTGAATTCTGCAATGTTCAATAAGATTGGAGCTTTGACTAAAGGATTTTCCACATTCTCCACACTTATATGGCCTTTCTCCAGTGTGAACTCTCTGATGTATAATGAGGGTGGCTTTTTGACTAAAGGATTTCTCACATTGGCCACACTCATAAGGCCTTAATGTAGTATGAATTCTCTGGTGTTCAACGAGGCTGAAACTTTGTCTAAAGAATTTCCCACATTCGCTGCACTGATATGGCCTTTCTCCTGTGTGAGTTCTCTGGTGCCGAACAAGGTTGGATTTGCACCCAAAGGCTTTCCCACATTCCCCACACTCATATGGCCTTTCTCCAGTGTGAATTCTGCAGTGTTCAATGAGGTTGGAACTTTGACTAAAAGATTTCTCACATTCTCCACACTTATATGGCCTTTCTCCAGTATGAACTCTCTGGTGTATAGTAAGGGTGGCTTTTTGGCTAAAAGATTTTCCACATTCACTGCACTCATAAGGCCTTTCTCCAGTGTGGACTCTCTGGAATGGAACAAGTGAGTATTTGTCACAGAAGGCTTTTCCACATTTGCTAGAATCATAAACTCTTTTTCCAGTACAGATTCTTTGGTGCTGAACAAGAGTATGTTTGTGGCTAGAAACTTTTCTGCATTCACCTAACTTGTAACGATGTTTTCCACAGTGAAAGGCCTCCCCACACTTGGTGATTTTGTTTGGCTTCTCACCTTTAGGAATGACCTGGGTCTGAAGAAGGCTCCACTTGGCCAGAAAGTCCTTTCCAATCTTCCTGCAGAAGAAGGGATTCCCTGACACATGGAATATGTAGCTCTTCACAAAGGAAGCCCAATCCACATCTCTTCTTAATGGATATTCTGCACTGCAATGCTTCCGGTCCTGGTGAAGGTTTGCACATGTCCCAGCAAAGTATGGCTTCTGTCTACATTGATCACCCAGATGCAAAATATCTTTCAGGATTGGGACACACATCTCACAGGGCTGAGTCTTCTGGGTGGACAGACCTGCCTTTAAAGTCCTAACCTGTGCCACTCCTTCTAAAGAAACACTCTGTTCTGAAGGTGTCTCTTCATCTTCTGTTCCTTGACAACAAACTGAAAGAAGAGAAATACTGATGAAATGCACGCTGACCATGGTGGGAATATATTAACCATGCTTTAAAATTTTTCTGTATAATATGATGTTTTAACATCTTTAAAACAGTTGCTGGCTAGGGAGACTGCCCCTTCCAGGGTTAGCCAATTCTTAAGAGATAGCAAAGGGCTCAAATGGGAGCATGCAGTTCATATGCTAATCAATCAATCTCAAGCCCCTACTCCAAACTATATTTTTGTGGCTTGTACACTCAAGGAGGCAATATGGAACCAGACAACTAAGGCCAGTCCTCCTTGCCAAAGCCTACCTAAATTATTCCAACCAATCAGTTCTAAGTTGTTTACCCTGCCCCGCCTTTCCTGCAGAAATGCCAGTAATGGCTGTAGCCTAATGTTTTCCCCTTGCCCTCACTTCTACCTCTTGACCACCCTGTGCTTCCCCATGTTGCCCTGCACAACACAGTGTGCCCTTCTCTCAGAAATCTAATAAATTCTTCTTTTCAGTGGCATTCACCTTTCCATGTCAGCACTAAGTCACCTCTGCAAGTTGAAATCCCACAAGTACAGGTTGAAACAACTGGTGCAGTGAGCAGAGTGACTCAGTGTTCCACTGAAAAGGCTTTTCTCTGGACTACTCTGTGCTAAGTACCTCATTGTTCCAGTCAGCATGTTCTGCCTTAGAAGTCATTGCTGGCTATTGGTGTGTGCTTTGGCTGGTACCGCTTTTTGCTGGGTCTTTCTTTTCTTGTTTTGGTTTCCCAACCTGTACTGTAGACTGACCCAGGGTCTTAGCGTAGGGTAGGTACTGCATGTGCCCAGTGTGTTCCTGGGTATAAGTGCTGCATGCAACCAGGAGCTTATAAGGGAAACCCCCCAAATGACAAAAAAAAAAAAAAAAAAAAAAAAAAAAAAAAAAAAAAAGAAGAAGAAGGGGGAAGGGGGAAGAAATTAATTATGCTGTAGACAGGGACCATCCCAGGAATAGGCTACTGCCTACAGGTACCAGGCCCCTTCCCCCTCCCATTTTCATCTTATCTGCCAGAAACAGAAACTATGAACTAAAGCTTCAGGTAGCTGAAAGCCTAAAACAGAAAACAAACAAAAAAAGACAGAGAGAGGGGAGAGAAAAAAATAAAATAAAAAATACCAACAACAAAAACCAACCCCTAGATACTGGGTAGGGGAGGGCATAATTAAATAAATTACATATAAAGCTATATAATATTTTAACATAAATATATAACAGATAAATTTTATATACCATTAAACTAACACGAAGATCCATAATTTGATAAAATTGGAAAGTCAAAATTTACGTATGAAAGAATGTAAATAACAAAAAGATGAACAAAAGTGTTTATGGTCTTTTCTGGTTCTGCAAATGATTCCACATTAACTTTAACATTTAATAATAATTGACTTCAACAATTGACTTCATAAAGTCAGTTATTACTGAGGCTCAAATTATACCTGGGAATCCCACTAAATTTAAACATTATACTCCCTATAATCTTAAGGAAGTAACTAAACATACAATAGAGAAAAAAATAGGCATGCCTCAATTTAACTGTAGCCTTGTCTACATTTCCCAAAGTCATAGCATCCATTACCTGAAAATATCCCATATTGGACACAGATGCTGTAACATCACAAGTAATACACCTTCAAAAGGGAGGCCTCTACTTCCAACAGAGGCCACTGCTAACCACCAGGAGCTTATAAAGGAAACACCCCAAATGACAAAGAACAAAAAACAAAGAAAAAAACAAGAAAAAAAAAGGGGGGGGGGAGGAGAAGAAACTAATGATGCTGCTTCTCCATTTGACAGCCCAGTCGTGTCTGTTCTTAAACCTGGAAAATTAAAAGGTGCATCATGGTAGATTAGTACAACCTTAATGCTGTGGTCCCATACATTAGGGCCCCTGTACCCAATATCAATACTATTAAAATCTCAACCTCTATCCAATCAGCAACTGCTAAATACTTTGCTATTATAGATTTGGCTAACATGTTCTGTTTAGTGTTTATTTCAATACCCTCTCAGTTGCAGTTTGCCTTTACCTACTACGAGACACAATACACCTTTTCTGGCTACCTGTGGGGAGCCTGGAGGATTTTGCCATTGAATACATTCTCTGCAGACAAGATCTTTACTTCACACCTACTCCTATGGATTGAATGTTCCCCCCAAACTCACTGAAGCTTGATTTCCATTGTAACAGTGTTAAGAGGGTGATAAATCAGACTATGGCAGTGTTAAAAGGTGGGGCCTTTGAGAGGAGACTGGATCATGAGGACTGTCCCCTTGTGAATGGATTAATACATTTATGGAGTAATAGGTTAATGGTTTAATGGGTTATCAGGGAGTGGTTCTGATGGCTTTACAAGGAGAGCAAGTGAGCACATTAACTCTCTCGCTCATGCCATTCTCACTGTGTGATACAGGACTCTATACAGAACTCCCACCAGGAAGAAGACCCTCATCAGATGCGTGCCCTGGCCCTTGGACTTCCCAGCCTCTAAAACTGTAAGAAATAAATTTGATTTCTTTATAAATTACCCAGTTTCAGGTATTTCTGTTACAAGCAACAGAAAATGGACTAATATACCCACCTTGCTCCAGAAGTAGAGGTATGACATTACCTTAATGACACCTTCCTCCTAGGAGATTCATTTGACATGCTCACTAAAGGCGTACAAATCCAAAATCTTTTAGTCCTTACTGGGTTCTGGTGGCAACATATTCCTCATTTGCAAATTTTACATCCAAATTGAAATTAACAAGCACTCCTATTAGTGCTCTCAGAAACTCCTTCAGAGGACTTCAGAGGCTTTGACAACCTCTTCTTATGCCTCCTGGAATTTCTGAACCACCTATAACAGATATACGTTGCCTAGGGGCATGTGATGCAGGAAACTGGCCAACCCTCTTGAACTTGGGCTATACACAACTGAAACAAATGACTGGCTTCCTACTGGGTTCTCCTGAAAATAGAGGCTCTCACAGGCCCTGAACCTGTGACTCTGCATACCCAGCTGCCCATTATGCTCTGAGTCATGAAAACAGCACCCCAGAAGCTCAGCAGCCCTACTGAGATCTCCTTCGGACAGGATGGAATCAAGCTGGGCCCTCTGTCACATTCTACCTGTAGGAGGGAGTGGCCTCCCTGTCCTCAGTTTCTTGCCAGATGCCACAATGTTGGAGCAGGTCACCCCTCCCTAAGACCCTTGGCTACTTGGGGAGTCCCTTGGGATTAACTGAGTAAACTGCAATGGGAGTCCATGGACTAAACAAAGGGCACTTCTAATCACCAGACAGGATGGAACTCAGTGGAATATTGCCACTTTCCATCCCTTAGCTGGGATGTCCCCAGTAAAGAAAGGAACCCAAGAAACAATACACTGTCTACACATTAGGAAGTCATCTGGATGCCCTGGCCAACAAGTGGTACCATCTTCACATTTATTATAAATGATTGGGACACTACCTAAAAATTGTCCCTTTCAGGATACAAAACCCTGCCTATCTCTTGCCTCACAGAAGCATAAAATATAAATCAAAATCACACAAATCCCTACATATAATAGGACCACAAACAAGGCCTTGTCAAGATATTCTTTATTCCCTTTGGAGTTACAGATATTTTAGTAACTAAGACTCACATTTCACTTTTCAAGTTACACAATGCTGGGCTCCTAGAAGAGGTATTCAATAGAACTTTAATGTTTCTAATAGGTTCAAAATAACCAGTCTAACCAAGAGACATGTGGTCTCCTCAAACAACTCTTTTTAAAATTCCAGCCAGGCATAAAGACCCCTAAATGAGTCTCTATCTTGCCCCAGGCCTTAACCTATCTTTATTAATTTAGATCTTGCTCTGATCCCATAAAGCCAGAGGCCAGACTAAGGGCACACACTCTCCTGGAACTATTAACCAGACTGTCTCACAGGCCAGGCAGCTGCTCATCTGATATGGAATGAATGTGAACTTAAACTTACACCAAAACCCAAAACAAAATCTTCTCAAGTGCAGATGCACCATTCTTGGGACTATTGGTCTTATTACTACTGTTCTGGGTGTTCTCATTAGTTTACAATCCAGAGACTAAAACCCTCCAAGAAAGCCACTTTTTCAACCAAACATGGCAAATGCTTAGATTCATATCAACCTGAATGGGGATCCACTTAAAAGGATACCTCACTCCCATACTCCTGACATCATTGCCCTGGCTCAGAAGTTCACTGCTGCAAATGGCATTGCTTCAGATGACGTGACCCCAGCACAAGACTTCATCACTGAAGACAACTTCATCCTGGACACTAACACATTTCCCCCAGTAACACTGCCTCTCTTAAGGCACAAATTGAACAATTTTTCTTTCTTTAATATTAGAGATTCTATTACATTTCTGAGATTGCTGTCTGTTTAGCTGATGATCCTGGTATATTCCTTGTTCTCTATCAAGAGAAACACCCCTACATTTACATGCCTAAAGGAAAATCTGGTAGGTTACTAATATCTGTGTCATTCTAAAAATTAATAGAGGTTATTCTTTACCCAGGAGGCACCTGTCTCCATCACCTTTGAAAAGAGGACCACTTACTCCCCAGTGCCCTCTCCTACTATTTTCTCCGCCTTTTCACCACGATCTCCTGCCCTAAATCTCTCCCTAAGAATAAAAAATAAATATTCATTCTTTGTCTCTGGTTTCTGGCACACAGCTCACAAAACCATTGGAATCTTCAGAGTGATGAGTGTCTTTTGTATGCTAATGAGATAACCAGTTGCTGAAGCCTCTGACAGCTTCAAACTGGGGACTGATCCTCAAAAAGATCAGGCCTGAGTAGAGGGTTGGAACTTTCAGCACAACCCTGGGTGTCTGAGGAGGGGAGAGGGGCTGAAGATTGAGTTAATTACCTATGGGTGATGATTTAATCAATGATGCCTACGCAATGAGACCTCCATAAAAACCCCTACATGAGAGGGCACAGGGAGAGCTTCTGGGGAGCACACTGAGGTGCTGCGAAGGTGGAACACCTGGAGAGAGCATGGAAGCTCCCTGCACCCCACGCCCATACCTTCCCCTATGTATCTCTTCCGTTTGGCAGTTCCTGAGTTGTATCCTTTATAATAAACTGGTAATAGTAAAGTACTTTTTCAAGTTCTGTGAGCTGTTATTGGAAATTATGGAACCTGAGGGGGGCTATGGGAACCCCTGAATTTGTAGATGGCTGGGCAGAAATGGGGTAGCCTGGGCACCCTATTTGTGGCTGGTATTTGAAGTGGAGACAGTCTTTTGGGACTGAGCCCTTTAAGTTACAGGATCTGTTACTAACTCCATGTAGATAAGAGTCAGGATTGAATTGAAATGTAGAACCACCATTTGGTGTCTGGAAAGTTGGAGAACTGGTTGCTGGTGTCATAAAAACTTGCCAGACCACTATAACCACTCTTTCTTTGTGGCTACACACAATGCTACTAATCTTTACATACACTCTACAAAATTATCATATCATATCCTTCGAAAACATAACTGCCTGATCTGCCACCTTGACCAGAGAGTACATATTTAAAACACTTTACAACTGCAGCAAGATATTGTTAGAGATGCCCCCAAAATTTCAGATATGTTTTCTTGGCTAATGGCATATAAATAGAAAACTTAGTTAAGGGCTGTCTTATGAAGACTTCTACCTATTTCTTCCTCCTTTCTTACTCTCATAATTAAATGTATTCTGTTTAGGGAAATTTATGTTCTACTTCCTAAAATTCTCCTATCATCACCCCCAGTTTTCCTTAATATGATGTCAAAACAGCAGAGGACCAATTGTATTAATCATGTTTTATATTTTCTGTATATTGTTTTGACTTTTTTTTTTAACCATGAGGATGTTTGATATTTTAAAAAACTTTGTGGCTGGGGAAGAGACTGCTGCTCCCAGGTTTAGCCAATTCTTAGAGATAGCGAAGGGCTTGGCCAGGAACACACTGGTCAGCTGCAGACTAACCAATCCAAGGCCTGTAGTTCAAACCACATTTTCTAGGTGGCTCATACACTCTAGGAGGAAATATTCCTCTGCGCCAAACACCACGCAGCCAGGTACCAGACAACTAAGGCCAGCACCCGTGCCCAAAGCCCACCAAATTATTCAAGCTAACCAATCCTACAGTGTTACTCTGTGCTGCCTTAATTGTAAAAACCCCCAATACAGGCTGGGGCCTAATGTTTTCCCCTTACTCCTGCTTCTGCCTCCTGACCATCTGGTGCTTCTGCATATAGTTCTGCCCGGCATACGCCTTCTCTTGGAAATGTAAGTAACAAATCATTCTCTCAATGTTGTTAATCTCCCCATGTTGGCATTCAGTGATCTCCAGAAATTAAAATCCTGCAGGTATATTTTAAAACAGGGAATGGCAAGCCCTGTCAAACATACAATGAGGAATCCGAGTCCACAGGCTATTCTGAGGATGAGAGAACTGAGGACAGGTTGAAAAAGGGGGTGCTTGGCAGTATTAGACCCATAAAGATCACAAAATGGGGAGGCCTCATCAGATGAAGGACATAAGGATGGGGTGCAGCCCAGGGAGGAGAGGCAGGGTCTCCAACCCACTCCTCTGCTAATGGTCTTCAGTAAAACCTCATCTACTGGTGACATGTGCACGCTGTGCAGAAGGTGGGTTGTGTCCAGGCCCAGGAAAATCCAACTGGAACTGAGTAGCAAGTGTTCAGTAATATTTAATGATAATGTGCACACAACACATTAAGAGTGGGTCAGTTTCAGAGAACATTGCAGAGGAGGCTGCGAACAGGAACAAGTGGCATACAGAGACCAGAAAGGTTGGGGCAGTCAGGGGCTGGAATTCAGAGTTGAAATGACGAATCAACTAAGTGTCAAGTATGGGGAAGAAAACGTAAAAATGAGGTGTGTCCAGGGCTACTTGCACCAAAACACTGAAGACAAAGGACAGGTTCTTGGTATGATTTGAAAACAACCCGAATGTCATAGCCTTCCTTAATTGTCACTCACAGGGCCAGGCCTCCTCTAAGACCATTTTGCCATGTCCACCCTGTGAAGCAACCAGGGCTCTTCCCCCACCCTCAGTTGTATAACTACATGGGACCTGCATGATGCAAGTTCTAAGGGAAAGACAGGAAAGGTGAGTGGTCAACAGTGGCCCAGCGTGATGCAGTACTCAACAGACCGCAGGAAAAAATTAGTATTACAAAAAAGCCTGGAAAGAGCATCAGGCAAAACAGCCCATGGTCCATGTAAATATTAATCATCACAACGCCTGCAGTTCCTGACACAGGCAGCTAGAGAAAAATGTCAGCAAGAAAAAGGGGCAGAACCAAAGGCAAAAAGTTGTGTCAGGTCTGGATGCAGTCAGCCTGCCTGGGAGAGGGCAAGGAAGGTGAGACCATTAGGCTGACTGCAAAACGCTGCCTCCCAGACCCTTCCATGTATACCTCAGGGCAGCAGGTGTTAGAGCTGCTCCCAGCACTGCACACAGCTCAGCGCTGACACCCACAACACATGTCCCAAGAAAGCGGGGAAGTGTGGCTGTGGAAAGGGCAGAGCTGCCTCTGGGAGAAAAGTGAATACACAGAGAGCAGGACACTGGGGTGTGTATGAGGGCCTTACCCAGTGAGACTACAAGTGCAAAGTTCTCCAGCATCACATCATGGTACAGGAGCCTCTGAGCCTCATCAAGGAGCCTCCACTCCTCCTGGGAGAAGTAAATGGCCACGTCCTCAAAGGTCACACAACCCTGTCATGATAAAGACAGAACATTCCACAATCAACTTCTCTCCTAGAATTCCAAGTTCATCCACCCACATATGCTTCCCCTGCTCACTCTCCTCCTCATCTTGCTTCCCCTGAGATACCAATAAGGGCATTGATGCTCATTATTTAACCATGGTTCCATTATCACTGTGTTCTCCCATAACACTAACAAGCAGGTGGGCAGAAAAATACCATCTAAACTCTGGACCTGGCACGTAGGGCTACATGCCCTCTTGTCAGGCAATTATCCTGGGGTTTCCTAGATTATGCCTCCCAGACACAACCAAACACGGGCTTGCCCTTCACCCTTATGTCCTGAATGCCAGCACCCTTGAGCCACACATTCACACTCCCTCTCTCTGTGCACGTTTCTCCTTGTGCCACACCTCTAACACAGACTTACTCCCACAGCCACCTCTACCCTCCTGGCCCACATGAGAGGTATCTCCCTAGCCTCCCCACATATTACTCAGCACAAGGCATGTAGAGAGTACTTGGCAAATTAAGACAGGATCCAGTGCTACCCAGGCTTCCATTGGTCCTCACTGCCAGAAACAGCCCCAAATCCTGCTCTGAAGGCCTCCCTGCTTGACTCTGTTCCTTGCTTAAACCTCAATCACCAAGAACCACCTGCAGATCTCAGACAGCCATGGCCCTCTCCCACTGGTGCTACACTTAATGTCCCCTCACCAGCCACAGCCTTCCTCTCTCCATGTAACCATAAATCAATACTCAGCCCCAGGGGCCTCCACTCCAGACCCAGTGTTTCTCTCAGATGACCACTGTGCCCCTGAGCTAATCCACACACCTGACTGAAACTCCCCAGGCACACCAAAGGTCACTACTAAATCCTAGTGAGTCTAAAGCCTAGTGAATAAGCACTAGTACTAGCTGCAGTATCATCTTGCCTCAGTTACTACTGATTCTGCATCTAACTCATGACCACTCTTCCCATGGAAGACTTGGCCACCTGCCAAATCATCCACTTTGTCACATCTTTCCCACGGCCACTTTAGACCCTCAGCTGTGTTTATGATGCCTACTAACTCCACCCAGATGCCCAAGCATGAGACCTAGTCGTGGACCCCACCCTCCCTTTCCTGGGCTGCTAATAGCATTACCATCATGACCAGAATTCCTTCTCCTAATTGTGTCCTAAGCTACATCCCAGGGCAGACATCAGCCACCATCTTTTGGATGTCTCCATCCTCAGTCCCTCCCCAGAGTTCCAGACCTGTGTGGCCAGCTACCAATGGGATATTTCCACTAATTGCTCTTTAAAACATCTCACTGTTAAGATAACAACAAACAAAACTCCTAACATCCCCAATGAAAATTAACCCTACTATAAACTTTTACATGTGATTAATGGACTTCCATCCTTCCAGTTGTTAAAACCAAAAACCTTGGAGTCACCCATCTCTTACCTTTCTCTCTCTCATCTTCAAAATCTGAAAATCCAGGAAGCCCTAAAAACTGATCCAGAACCCAACTACCTCTCCTAGCTCTTTGGCCACCACATTGGTCTAGTCACCATCAACACTAATCTGGACTACTGCAGTAGCTTCCTCCCTGGTTTTCCTATCTCCTCATTCACACCCCTAGTCTGTTCTCCTTGCTACAGTCACGGGGATACTGATAAGACTGGAGTCAGATCACCTTCCTCCCCTGCTCTAAATCTCCCATTGCTCTCATCATCTCCAGAATAGACACCCAACTTCTCACAGCACCATTCCAGGCCTGACTTCTGCCTCCCTGTTCTAATTTCCCATGACAGAGAAAGGAACTTATGATCCTTGAGCCAGCTCAGCCTCATCTCCAAGCATTTGAACATTCTAGGACCTATGTCTGGGTAACCTTTCATCCCTTATTCCACTGCTTGCCAGCAGTAGGAACCACACCATATAATCCCTAGCCTGGATTAAGGTCTCACGGCTTGGGTTTCTTCTGCATACTCAGGCCCAGAGAGTGGAAGAGTGGCAGGCAAAGAGTGCCAGGACACAGTTCCAGAGACAAAGGGTGTGGTCACACTAGCGAGGCCCTAGAACATCCTCCCCTCACCTGTGTACAGTCCAGAAGCACTTTTGTAGTCATGGTAATCTGTGGGAAAAAGAAAGTTGTGAGAGGCAAGTAACCAGGGGCTCTGTAGGCTCAGGCCTCCCTGTACCCCTGCCCAGCCCTGGAGCAAAGTGACTTCGGAATGACTAAATTATCTCTAGGCCTCAGTCCTCAGTGCTGATTCCTACCAGTTGTGGGCCGTTGCACAAGGGCTCAACCTTCCTGTGCCTCAGTGTTTTCCTCTTTCCGGGCTGTTCTAACCCCGAGCAGCTTTTGGAAAACTTTGAAAATCCTAACTCAGACCACGTGCCTCTGCGGTTCACAACCCTCCGTGGTTCCCAGAGTCCTGAGGATTCTGAAGGTAAAACTCCTCACCCTGCCATTCCAAGCGTGAATGCTCCCGGCTCAATCGCCCAAACAAGGCTTTACACACACTGGTCCCTCTGCTTGTCACACTTCCACACCCCATCACACAAGCTATCGGAAATAGGGACCCCACCCACGACAGCCTCACTATGCTGGGCACAGGGGCCTGGGCTGTAGGAACGTGAGCAGGAGCCGCTCATTCGGGGCTTTAGAATTTGGGTGGGCCTTGGGTGGGCCGAGGACGGGTGAGGCCCGAAGGACACAGCATTTACCTGAGCCGGGTCCCTCAGCGCCGTCGCCGCCATCGGACTCTGCAGGAAGGAGCGGGACCGGGAGCGGAGGGTGACCGGGGAGTGGACCCGGGCACAGCCGTCACCACCGCTGCCGACCCATCAACCGCTGTGCAGTAGGGATGGCCTCTCCCCTCGCTGTTGGCATAGACGGACCCCAGCGAAGCTAGACTACGGCAGCAGCGACGCCGGAAGTCCCGCCCAGAAACTACGATCCAACCACTAAAACGACCTTTCCTGAGCGCTCATTGGCTCAGCCTTTCAACACTTGACTCGGGGCATTGTGGGTAATGTAGTTCCTACAGCTGCGCAAGCTGCGGAGAAGGATATTCCGCACTAGGATGCTGGAGTCTAGGAGGTCAGGGCGAGGGCGCCGTCGCTCCGGCCTCGTCCTGCCCTGCGGACCCTTCTGGAGATTGTCCCAGCAGGTGCGCGGGAGACGGAACAGGACACAGTCTCCCGCGACGTCTGGGGCTCTAAGGGCGGCTCGACTCCCACACGGGGACCCCTCCGCCGGCAGGGAAGCCCAAGGGTCTCTCGGGGCGCGGTTCGGCTCGTGCGTGGATCCCAGAATCCAGAAGCGCTTCCGCGAAATGTTCCAAGTCCCTTCCGGACTCGCCAAAGGGCTCCCCGACCCTCCAGACGTGAAACCGGCTCGAGAAAGGACCAGGTCGGGTTTGCAGTCAGTTGATGGCAACCCGTGTCCCTGCGGGTTTCTCTGAGCTTCTGAGACGTCACTTGGAGAGATCGGGACTTAGAGTCTGAGGCAAAACGTTCAGACTCGGGCCGCGGGGCGGGGACTCAGACTCTAGGGCAAAGGGCGGTAGCTAGGCTCCGCCTCCTGAGCATTGGAGTGGACTCGTCTTCCAGGGGACAGCGCAGACCCCTCCCTGGTGCCAGGGTTTGCGCCTGCGTCTGGGGCGGCAGTGAGGTCCTTTCTCCCTGGGAGAAAAGGTGGAGACGTTGCCTCTCTGGAGCAGAGGGTCCAGGGAAGCCCTTTGAGGCGCTCCAGGTCGCTCCTGCCGTGAAGAAAGCCAGAGGGACACAAGAACCTCCAGGGGAGTCCTGAGGCGCCTCAGCCTGGCCCCACAGCTCCCTGCGCTCCTGCTACCCGGAAAGCCCTCTGTGCAGCTCTGTGCTGGACCTCCCTGTGCGACCCTGGAGGGGAGTGTCCTTAAAGTCCTCTGTGAAGGTGCAAATACTCTCTTGGTGTTCTGTGGACCCCGTGCTCCACTATCCTACCGCCTGATCCACCTTCAGACCCTGGCACCGTGGGGATTGCCGTTCCCTCCAGAGTCCTTCCCCCACTCCACCCCCAAATGCACCCAGGCGGTGCTGTTCCCTTAAGATGCAACCTCATATCACATGTGGCCCCACTGACTTGAACAGCTTTGGTCCCTGAGGAAAAGAACTAATCAGGGTTACCTAGGGAACGTGGTGATGCCCGAGAAGAGGGTCTGGTTTAATGGAATGAATAAGAGATACAGATTTCACAGAGTGTGGCCTTGCTCCAGAGACTGTGCAGGGCCCACACCAAGTTTAATGCAAAAGTAAGAAATACACTCTTAAAGTTTAGTACAGAGTGCAGGCTGGTTCAAGATAGTGAACAGCTGCTTGCTGAAAGTTAAGTTTGGTACAAAAAGAAAGCATACACACCTCAGCCATCTGAGGGTTGGCCCCAGGTATGAGCAACAACCCTGTCTTCTTCCAGGATTCTGCTTTTGTGGTTTTGCTCTCTAATACATATTCATAGTACCTAATGAATATTCAACTGTGGGTCACAGTTATGTAACATTGTCTTGCACATGCTCGGTTGGTCTTCTTTCAGGGCATGTTCATTGGTCAAATTCTATAACATGCTCCAAACATATTCAAGAATATTCTGTGCTCTTTGGGCCTCCAGGGGAAGGTCAAAGGATAAATTCCACTTTACTGAGCATGCTCAGCTATTAGGGTTCTGTAATTCCTTTCTACTGGGCATGCCCAGCCACTGGATTTGCATAAGTCAGCCCCCTGAGGTCTCAATTTCCTCATGTTGGTGCGCAAAATGGGTCCAACAAGCAACAGTAACTCACCTCTAGGGAAGGGCCTAGAGGAGGGGCCTGAGAGCTCCAGGAGTGGCTTGAAGACCAGAGGTGTGTCCTGAAACCCAAACCTGGGAGAAGCTGAGTACCTCCTAGCTCAGTGGGACTTGGGAGAGCTCTGGGAAGACTGCTGCCTGCATGGTGCACATGGTGGAGCTCACGAGGCTCAAGATGGTGCAAGTGGCTTTGGTCTCAGGGGAAAGTCTGGGGAACTGCTGTGAATATGTTGGACCTGTCTCTTGTGCCTCTATAGAAAAAGGACTATGGAGGCACTAGCCCAGACCATGAGTCTAAAACACATATAATTAATTGCGGCGAATAAAATAAGGCTGAAGTCAAGGGTTCAAATCCCCTTACCTGCCAGTTGTCAAAAATAAAAAGTGCATCCTCACACACACACACGATATCTTATTGTACTATACACACCTATTTCCCACCCTAGTGAACTGAAACTGCAGAAATCAAAACCACAGTAGATAAGAGGGACTTTAAAGTTCTCCTCAGAACTAGTTTACATGTTTATCTTTGTGAACCAGTGAATGAATTATGTTCCATATGCATAGCAAGTTTTGCACACCTATAAATTGAGGAGTATCGCTACACTCTAATCAACAATTGTTTTATATGTTATAAGTGATATAAAAAATAATTGCTAAGGTTAATGCTGGAAGATATTAGGGAAGCAACTCAATATTCTGGAAACCTGTAAAAGGGAAATGTCTCCTGCAGTAGCTGTGCAGACTGCGTTTCGCATTACAAAATCTCCGTGTACACACACTAAACTGGTCTGTTTTGGATGAGGCTTGTGGATGTCACATAACATTTTCCATTATGGGTAAAGATACAAAGATCAACATAAAATAATAATGAAAAAATAAATTCAACAATATTATAGCAGAGAGTTCCTCATGAGAATTATTCCTGCTTCCAGAAATGCACTGATGTTTCAGTATTGGATGACGGAATGTGAAGATATTTTTAAATTGTGAAGGAACCCTGCAGGACAGCACCTTATTGAGCCAACATCTTCCTGGCATGGTTCTTTCAACTGGGCATGAATAATAGCAAGCTTAGGCTTGAATATTTTGAATAATTTTGACAGGCTCCACTATAAGGGTGATCCCTAGTTGTCTGGTACCTGGCCCTGGGGTTATTTAGGTCAGGGAAAATATTGGTTTGGTGTGGGCTATGTTTGAATATGGTTTATATATTTATGGTCTCTGCCAAAACTCATGAGTCAAATAAACTCCTTTCCTTTGCAAATTACCTATTCTGTAATATTCTGTTACTGCAGCAGAAAATGGACTAAGACAGGGTGTGAGAGTTAGATACAGGAGGTGGTTGGGGGTATAGGCTTCAGATTAGTTGGTTTGTATGTGAAAGACGTGCACATGGGGAAGTTGTTTGCTATCTCTAGTAATTACTAAACCCTAAGAGGTGCAGTCCCTCCCTAGGTCCCCAAGAACCCAAGATGTCAATGCATCAAAAAATATAGAAAATAAAATACATGATTAATACAATTGGTCCTCTGAAGGTTTGACATCATATTGAGGAAACTTTGGTGAATTGATAGTAGAGACTTTTTGAGAATAGGGCATAACTTGCCCTAATAGGCATAGAAAATATTTTATGGGAGTAGAAAGGAGCAACACAGGTAGAAGTATAGAGTCCTTGTAAGCTGGTCCATAACTAAGATTTTGATTTATATGGCATTAACCAAGAAAATAGATTTGAAATTTGGGGGGTTCTCTAACAATATCTTTGTGGAATTGTAAAGTGTGTTGTGTTTTTTGTTTGTTTGTTTTTTCACAATGATATCACAGTGTATTTCTCGGGTCAGAGAGGCAGGTCCACCAGTTATGTTGTTGGAGGGCATGGGATGAAATTTAGTAAAGTGTATGTAAAGATTAGTGGTGTTTGTGTGTAAACAGGGAGAAGGAGCAGTGATGGTCAAAGACTCAGAGCAGAAGGTCCTGGTGGAAAGCAGAGGAGTAGACGAAGGCACTGGAGAGTGAGTGGTCCTTTTTCCAGGGGGTCTAGGGTTTAGCGTATAGGAGGCAGGTGCTTCCTGGGGAGAGTAATCATCACCATTAATTTTTAGAATGGCATAGAAATTAATGACCTCTACCGGATTTCCCTTTAGGCATGGAATTTTGAGGTGCATGTTTTAGCAGGGAACAAGTAGTGTACCAGGATCATGGATTAAGCAGACAGTGAGCTCAGGAAACATAATAGCATCCCTAATACCAAAGAAGACAAGCAATATAATTTCCTATGTTCAATTCATCAACACCTTGCCAGGGGCAATGCATGGATGTCACTGGGACAGAAGTAATTGTATGAGTATTAAGGACCGAAGTTTTCTCTGGTGCAGGGGGCAAAGTTATCTCCAATGGCAATGTCTTGGGCTTGGGCAATGTCATCTGTATGTGGGATTGGGATATATTTTTCAACTGGGTACCCACTGAAGTTGATGTGGATATTGGTATTTTCCACGTTTGATTGAAACAGTGGCTTATTTGGAGGGTTTGGCCAGATTGTAAACTAATGACAGCATAACAAAACCAGTGGTAAACAGAGTGATGTGCAGCTGCACTTGACAGATTTTTGTTTTTTGTGGAAATTTAGTCTCAAATGGGTCCATATCAGATGAGCCTGGCCTGTGGAACAATCAAATAGGGGGCAACATTATTAAAGGGCCTTATATACAATGAGTCTCTAAATACATAAAGGTGAGACATATTTTCCTTTAAGTATAAGAAAGTGTGAAGGGAATATTTTTAAAGTTGGTGTGAGATGTAAGTAGGTGAAGGGGTCTTGACAGAAGAGAGATTAAGGCATGGGGCAAAATAAAGACCTATTTGAAGGTCCATTTGCTGGAATGGAATTTTATTACTTATTTTAATTTTGGTGGCTGACCAGTACAGGGAT